TCGGACTAGATGATCTGCTTAGGTCCCTTCCGACCCTACCAACTATGAAACTATGAACATTCTCTGCTTCCTGTGGGCAAAGGTTGGCCCTACTGGGAGCAGGCTGTTTTAACAATACAATATTTTGATTGCTGAAAGTTGATTAATGGGGATTATGCACAAGTGAGGAAGAATCCACCTTGATGGCCAGATCCCAGGCTGAGCTTGTACCATATGCAGTTAGAGAAACAATTTGACAGGTAAACAGAAGAAATTTGATTTGGAAGTCATAAAGGAAAAAGCTGCAAAAATTTGTTTTATAGCTTAAGTCTCTTTTCGGAGTGCAAACAAACTTAGGGATATAAGCAGCTTTTAAGGGTACCTCAGAAATTTAGAAATGAAATGATGTGTGCTTGTTTTGATCTGAAGCACATATTCATGACATGAGTTTTGCTTTCTATATGGAGAATGACTTAAAATCCATTGCCTTTAATGGAAGTGCCAGGCTTCTACAGCCAAGAGAAAAGAATACGGTTTGTTGTGAAACGAAAAACTTTGACCTAATTTATTTGCTATGAGAACTTTTTATGAGTCAAATAGAGGGAATGCAGAAATCGTGATGAACAGAGACCTCTCAGGATACTATGGAAAAGTGAAGTGAATGAAATTCAGAGAACTTCCAAACTGGAATCAAACTATCCTTGAATTGTAGGGAAATCCAGGTCTGGATCTGAACATGGTTCAGGTTCATGTGTTGTAACTTCTAGGGTACTGTTTAATAGCCTGTTTTTTGAAACTTCTAGTGAATAAATATCCTCCTTCTCATACATTTATTGTTTGTTGTAGCAACAGCAAAAGGAATATGGAGATTGAAATCCTTTTCTTGCTGTTATTCTATTGAAAGGAAATGCAAATGATGGCAATTCTTATTCTAGGCACTTGACTCTTCTGTGCTTCTGCCACCTGCATCTTACTAGCCTTCCTCCAACTTTTGAGCCTCCTGGTCTGTCAGCAGGTATTAACAGTCACATACCTCAGGCCAAATGTTACTCTGGGTGGTGATGAGAGAACTGTGTGAGTCTGTTTCTGCTCTCCACTCCCTGCAGGATGATTACGAGTTGGAGAGACCTGTTAATACAAACAAAAACACTGTTTATGAAGCACCCATGTATACATGCAATATAAAAGCATTCTTTGAATTCTTTGATAGCAAAGTGTCCATCATGAATTATCACCTAGGACATTTCAACTGGTGGGAAATATATCTAGGGAAGGTCAGAATGTAATTAGTATGCCTCAAAATTAGAATATCTATTGAGAAAAATTGTCCATTTAGCTTTATATACACACACTTCATGAACTTTGCCTTCCCCTGAACTTCCCCTTAATAGGGTCTGTCCCTTTAAGAGGGGTCAGAAAATCCTGTTGAGAATCCAGCTGCAGAGCATCTTGATAGAGAGGAAGTGTCCTACTATGTGCTGTTGAAGAGGCGCACTAACACCAATTCTGGGAAGAGCTGTTTAATCCTGACTCCTAGCCCTGAGCTGTTGTGTAGTGCTTCAAAGGCATGTGCACCCAGTGCTTAAAATCAGAGTCCCGCTCTGCCAGTGAAATCATAAAACTGATAACTTTAGAACAATTTTACTGCATATTGCTGGTGAGGGGCTGGGAGTGGGTTTGCTGACACTGGGTTGATGATCTGAAAGAGGCAGGCTGCCTTGCTGCAAATTTGTTGGGAGCCAAATGAGAATGTGAGGAACAGGAAAAGGGCCAATGTGGTGGAAAAGGGCCAATGTGGTCCCCATTTTCAAGAAGGGGAGGAAGGAGGACCCGGGCAACTATAGGCCAGTCAGTCTCACCTCCATCCTTGGCAAAGTCTTTGAAAAAATTATCAAGGCTCACATTTGCGAGAGCCCGGCAGGACAAATTATGCTGAAGGGAAACCAGCACGGGTTCGTAGCAGGCAGATCATGCCTGACTAATCTAGTCTCTTTTTATGACCAGGTTACGAAACGCCTGAACACAGGAGTAGGGGTGGATGTTGTATACTTAGATTTCAGGAAGGCCTTTGATACAGTATCCCACCCCATACTGGTGAACAAGTTAAGAGGCTGCGACTTGGATGACTACATGGTCCGGTGGGTGGCGAATTGGCTAAAGGGTCGCACCCAGAGAGTCGTGGTAGATGGGTCGGTTTCGACCTGGAAGGGTGTGGGCAGTGGGGTCCCGCAGGGCTCGATCCTTGGACCGATACTCTTCAATGTCTTCATCAGCGACTTGGACGAGGGAGTGAAGTGTACTCTGTCCAAGTTTGTGGATGACACAAAACTGTGGGGAGAAGTGGACATGCCGGAGGGCAGGGAACAGCTGCAAGCTGACCTGGATAGGTTGGACAAGTGGGCAGAAAACAACAGAATGCAGCTCAACAAGGAGAAATGCAAAGTGCTACACCTAGGGGGGAAAAATGTCCAGCATACCTATTGCCTAGGAAATGACCTGCTGGGTGGCACGGAAGCGGAA